TTTAAAACATGTTTTTCAAATCACCCGACTTACAAAATAATTGCGTTCTTAGTTGTCAATTTATGAGGATTTCATAGTTTATTGCTACACTACTTATATTCGTGTGCAAAGTTATTTTTATTTTTACAAGATGTTCCAACACCTATCAACATTTAAAAAGGCTGAAACCATTGTTTTGCATGAGCAAAACATAACTAACAATAACTGAAATAGCAAGGCGTTTAATGATATCGGTGAGTAAATAAGATACTACGTTGATATTCTAAATAATATTTATTTCATTTTGTAACTCGACACACCTATCAATTTTTGCACTAGAATAAAATAATTATTGCAACTTATTATGAAGTTCAATATTATAAAGATATATTAATAATTTATTATTAATTGTATTGTAACTTGACTTGTTTTTGTTAGGAGTGTTTCTTTAAAACATATCTGGTTAGGGATTTTTATTCCTTACGCCACTACTTAATTATAAATTATTATTCTAACATTGTGTTTACTTATATTTATTATTATTTTTAAGTAACTTTAATTCCTGTAAAGTATTTCCTGGTATTTTAAATACTTATTTGTTTGGTATCAACAGAGGAGATCCATGCAGTTATGGGTGCACAGATATGCGGAGACCGGTGACGTTAAACATCGTCGACGTGGGCCTAAACCAAAGGCAAATTCATCGGCTCGGCACTACGACATCGTAGCCAGGCACATGGCTGATCCGTTCCTGCCAACCCGCACTACAGCGACAGCACTGAATGTTTTAATACAAACTGTACGGAGACACCTGCATTCTGGTTTAAGGTGCAGGAAGCCAGAGAAGAAAATATTGTTATCTGTGGTTCACCAGCAAAAGCGCTAAGAATTTGCTAAGGACTTTATTAATTTTGATTGGGCGAACAGTGTAATCATATTGAGCGACGAAAAGACTTTCAAGTCGGATAAGGATGGGCGTAAAATATTGTGAAGAAAAGATGGAGAAAGGTATACGAATTGCAACCTTCTGCCTTGTAGGATCAGTGATTGTATTGATTTCGGAATCAATTATTGAGCCTGTCAAACTCTGCCTTTATTAAAATTAACATAAAATAATGTTTAATTTTTTTAAGAATATTAAAATGCTGTCTAGAACATACGGTGAAGTGATGTTATTGTTTTGTGGTTAGAAATTGTCATAATTTCTTTCTATTCAACATGTTTATTCACTTCACTTTAATTTTTCATTAACAAATTTATTTAACTGCTTTCGAACTTGATTGACATATTATATTTACGCCCATCTTCAATTAATTTAAAGTTTCCCTGATTCTAAAGGTCATGAAAGTTAAAATCGTTCCATAGCATTCGTCACATTCTTTTTACTATCATACAGCCCACTGAATATTGAACCTTATAACAACCGTCGTAAAATAGATAATTAATGGAAGTTCAAACGACAAAAAGTCGCCCATTTCAAGAAATATTATGTTGACAGTGTAATTTTTTACATGTTTTACTTGTTTATTACTGTAAAACTGTAATTTAATAATACATTATATTATTAAATTACAAAACAAGAATGTTGTATATTTGTTTATTACCTACTTAATAAAAAATGTTGCTGCCATCGTATTACCGCTGTACCGCATGATATTTCCCGATTCGACTATGAGGTTTATTGTCATATCTATTAATTATGATTTAAAGAACTTTAAACTTAACATGTGGTATATAATTAATTATTAGATATAAATATTGAATATAAAACAACATATTTGTATAATAAATAAATTAATTGTAATAAAAAATAGTATTGTTTTATTTACCAACTCATTTGCTTCTTTTATAGCCTGATATTTATATTTTATGACAAAAAACAAAAAAAAAAAAAGAAAAATAACAAGGTAAAATAAAATTAACTTTTAGCTGGAATAGAACCCACATCATTGATCCTTGAAAGACGATAAAAGCGTGCTCATTAACCAATCGACCACGAGCACTACGATAATAACAGTGAAAATGTCGGGTCATATCAATGATTGTAAATAGTTTTAACCTTACCTATGCATTAAATTATAAAAATACGTATACCGACACAAGAATGAAAATACCAATGTAAACGTGGTGGACGAATATTTTTATATACAGTTATATGAAATTACGCACACATGTACACTGTGTAAATGACAGTTGTGTCGATGTGTAGCGCTGCAACTAATTAGCGGTGCTTTGTGTACATACTTAGTTACTATACCTACCTACAATACTAATAAATCTACATAACTATAACTAAACGTAAACAAAACAATAGCGGCAAATCAATTGTCAGATCAAAAGTACCTACTTAATACATTCTAGTAGGAAATTAGGCCTACCTACCTACTTCTTATGTGATACTGATAGAAAACTAACACAAACAAAAAATAAGTAAGTAGGTATCTCATCATCAAGCATAACTCGGAACATTAAAGAAAGGAATCTAAAATGGCGGTGCTTATCATGTTTTCTCGCTTGCACACTAGTGCCGTCTATACTCACTCTCACGCGTACCGTAGACATAAAAATAATTCCGGTGAAGGACCGTCTCATAGATAGTACATATTAATAAATGACTGAAAAGTAATATACGTTCTTTATTTATACCACCAAAATCATAACAAAGATCCTCAAAAGTGTTTTTCAAATCGTCAACTGGTTAGAAATAAATACGGCACGATCATGTTTTTATTATTTCTATTTTGAAAAAAAATATTCGCCTTGAAATTTTATATGCTAACTGTACTACTTGTTAACACAAGTACAAGCCGCCATTTAAGATTCCTTTCTTTAATGCATCGGCTTATCTAAATTATATTATGCTAGAATAAGTGACTAGCTTACCTTTCCTCTTCAATAGGTAATCTGAACAGAGACAGTTCTGGATTCGATGAATTATTAAGACACCCAAACACACAGCAATACGTTCTTCTGCGAATATCAGACATTGTTTATTCATTTAACAGTACCGAATAGCCGTGATGCACGCGCGAACCTCGTGTAGTGTTAGCCCCGACTGGCGCACTGAGAAACGGGTCGAGACTCGACATTTTGTTAAAGTGTGCGTGCGTCGACGCATAGATACTATGGCGCACACATATATGGCGCACACATATAAGCCGCGCGCGGTGTATTTGTATGAAGATAACCTACTTCCCTTTTCTTTATACTACGATAAGAGTCTGACACGGATTTCGCCTCACCCGGGCGGGAGAATTCATTGGTTGATTTTACCCCTCAGAAAAAAATTAATTAAGACAAAGGTCTCTTCTCAACACGCAGACTTTATTCAGCATTTCATATATACCAGCTGCTGCTGACGATGAAGTAGTATTTGTATTTCGATTGGATCACAAAGACAAAAATACAAGTTAATGTGTTAATGTTACAAAGAATACGTCGTTAAAATTGTTAAAATATTATATGTAAGCTTATAAAATAGTTAACTGGATGAGACAAGTTCTCTATAAGTACGAGATGTTAGAAATATGGCAGAATATATTGAATATAACTAAGCTAATTGACTCACAATCCCAATCATTGACTATGTATGGCACGACCATTACAATTTATCACAATCACGATACTTCAACCAGAGCTAATTTAATGCATTTATAATGAACATAGCTTGTTGAATTACTCAACTTGTCTATCAAAATAAGACAGATTTAATTGGTCGACTTAATTAGGTAACCTACGTCTCGAAGGACATACTTTTAGTTTTAGCATACCTATGTATGTTGACAGAATACACTAAATAATTACAAATATAATTATACATTTTCTGTAATGTACAAGTATACTGTACCATGGTTTAATATGAGAATATTGTAATGGAGCAAAATGGCAGGCATAACTTGATCACAGTGGTCACGTGCCGCCGTGCAGTGCACAGAGAGGCTCTAGGAGAGACACATAGGCCTCCATAGGGAGGTGCCGTAACAGGCGTTGCACTATGAGGGCACCGGAGTTGGTCTACTAAGAGGACCCGGTGCCCCCTTCAAGTGCGGATGGTGGCCACCGGGGAGGTTTTAGTGAGGTAAAAATCCCACACTCCCTAGTCTTTTTCCCCAAAAAGCTAGGCGCCTTTGGAAGGTTTCCCCCCGTCAACAAAAAAAGAAGGGCATAACTTGATGGTAAAAAACAGCGAATATTTTCGAAGAATTAAATTCTCTTAACTACTCATTTTCCGAAAAGACACCTTAAGACAATGGGTGTTGTAGTATCAATACGTAATATACCTATAGTGTAGACAATAATTTCTATACAAAGACAGATGATATGAGCACAATGTGTCACCTAATTTTATATTCAAATGAAATCTGTTTTACATGAGATACAATAATGAAATCAGCGTAAAAAAGTAAAAGGTTTTGGCATATCAATATTCATTGGGAGCATGAAATTGGTTCATGAATCTTATTCCGATATTCGTACGTTATTCAGAAAAGTAATTCTAGAAAAGAAGTACGATGTTTTGTATTCGAATACTTGTTTTGCAAAATGTGTGAATAGATTTGGACACATGGAATAGGCCAGCATGTAAAGCAAGTTATAGCTAAAGTTGTTGAAATGTATAACCGTAGTATAATTTTTATTGCCAAATTGTAGGATTGGTAATTTGTTAAAGATCATTTGGATTGGTAATCATGATGAGCTGGTACCTGTTCATCTACTACTGCGTTCCTATTACTTATTAACCCAAAGGCGAGAGCACTTTTAGACTGATTTTAAATCTATTGGGCACACCTACACCACATTTTACAGCCATTCTCTTAAATGCTTTTGTGATCTTTCAATCTTACCATCGCATTGAATAATAGACACAAGGGAATACCGCTTTCAAACGGTCAAAAATAACCTGAACTTTACCCACTGTTGTCTTTTCCGATCGCAAACAAAAGTCCCTTTTCTGTGCCAAATCCCAAAAGTATTAAAGACTTTCCCAATAGTCTAATAAATTATTGTCAATCTTGTTTTAGTGCCAAAGCCCACGAGAAGAAAATCCAAGCTAGGATGAATTATTTAGCAGAGTACAATGCTAAGCAACGTAGAGAGCGTGCGATGAAGGCTCGAGATAAACAGAATAGAATCAAGCAGAGAGTGCAAGCCGCAGCTGAGATGGAACTTCGACGTAAGATCACCATGGTGCGCCAGTGGAGAGCGAATGAGAAGAAGAGGGTAAATAGACTCAAGGCCGAGAGGGAGGCCAAGATTTTGCGGCTGGAAAATGAGGTACTCACAACCATAATTACGTTGACTTATAAGTAAGTAGTAAGTAGGACGCGCGTTCATAGAAAACTGTCGTTTTTGACAGTTTTCTATGAATTTTGTACGAGATTGTGAATTGTCGACGTCTCGTTTTTTTAGCTTCAAACAGCGTACTTATTTCGCAAAACTTTACTGGAAAAATACTAAAGTTAAGTTAGTCATAAAATTAATTAGTGTTATTATTTTTTAATATTTTTTTGTATTGAACAGTCGAAATAATTTATTTTTGATTCAGGAAAGTACCCAATTGTAAAGAAAGCGAATGGGAGTTAAAAATATTGATTTCCATCATTCTTTTAATTCCACTGTCTTTCAGTTTTTTGGTGTAGCCTCACCCTTTGACTGTTCATTCTAAAAGCAACGGTTGAAATGTCCATAAATCAAACTTTTCACAGCGAGCGAGTCCATTCGTATCCATATACATACAGTTTAAGCTCTCACCCAACCTTCACATGAAAAAGCATTTATTCTATTCCATAAAATAAAAGTGTACACATACAAAACGATGAAACGATATTTGACTATACATCGGGAACTTCATTGCACTTTGAATATACCGTAGAGATTTTTTCATTCATCTCCCAAGCGCACATCAATATTTAAAATGCATGCTCGAGTTACCGACAAATTCGATTTCTAGTTGAATTTCGTCCCTGGAGCGATGACAATGCAATGCAAAAAATTTTCAACGAGGTTTTCTCGGAGGGACTCGATTTTTTGATGGGCTTTTTAAGTTTGTTAAATGACTTTTAAAAAGGAGGAGGTTCTCAATTCGATTACATATTTTACATATATAACCTCACGCCTGTCCCTCATGGCGGTAGGCAAAGACGATGACATGCCAATTGCTACAATTCTTACAAAGCTCTTTCTCTTCATCAACTGCATCATCAGTCTTTTCATGCATGCTCGTCGGTTTAGGATACTTTTAATTTGGCCCTTCTTATAATTATTTTGTGTGTAATTATTATCTCACACCTTTTTTGTTGATTGTTTTTACTCAAACCTCAGAGAACTTGATAATGTTACATACTTAATATGAAAATTCGAAACCAAAATACCTACGCAAGTAAACTTACCTTCAGTGACTGTCAGTGAGTTACTTAATCTCATTGAACACGATTGTGGAAAGTGGTTTCTGCGGTTGTAGTGAACGATAGACCGAGGACGCAACCATTATGTAGTCTGCTCTGCAAAATCGTCCTGGTAATTGGTTTTTGTTTACTAAAGGTAGTAAATAAGACGTTTGATAAAAACGAGACCCTACAGACATTGTAGACTGGGTAGTATTATAGTGACGAAAGTCTTAACATTAAGTTGAAACAAAATAACACCTAAAATGCTAACAATTTGTATGGTACAGTATGCCCAAGTATTGAATACTTGAATCTGAAGCCACATAGGTGCTTTTTCTTATATATACTTGATTGATTATATGTACTGATGATGTGGCCAACGATAGAGCACGCCTACCAATGAGCAACCTGTTTACTCGAGACTTGAAGAAAAACATAGGCAGGTTTTTAAGATTTCCATAATATACTGTTATATTTTTAGAAGATGTCAAACGATGGAACTGAAAGGACAAAACATAATTTCCCATTATGATAAGTTTGTTTTCTTTTGTAGGCAAATAGTAAATGGATCGCTCGCGTGGAAGCTCAGAACACGAAGTTGCAGGAAGAAGCTCTGCTGCTACAGCTGTACTCTGACGATATGACAGCTGGAGCCAGGCGAAGAAGAAAGTATGTATCGTTAAAAGTTATTTCATCGTTGACCATCGTTGTTAATAGAAGTAATTATTCATTAGTTAGTTTATATTTTTATGGGATAGAAGGATTAATAAACGTATTACCTGATGGTAATCGATAAGAGCTACCCATAGACACACATATCACCAGAAAATGTTTTATAAGTTTTATGTCAACCTTCTACAGATTCTTTTTCCAAGTTAGAAATATTTCATCACTAGTAGTTGCCTGTGACTACGTCCGAGATTGTTGATTCCTGTCTTATCCCATAGGAGAATTTAACCGGAATAAAAAGTATCCTATCACCAAGTCAGGCCATACCTGTATACCAAATTCAATATCATCAAAATCCGTCTTGTAGTTGCAGCGTGATTACCGAATAAAAATCCAAAAAAATAAACTTTCACATTTACACTATTAGTGTGATTAATGACATCTGGTTGATCTAAAAATTAAGTGGTGCATTGATGTGCTATTGTGTTTTATAGTGGACTGATTATAGTAAAACATTTGTGTCCATACAGGGTCTATGCCATCGACGTTCCGTAAAGCAATTAAGTCGCTAGTCGCCGATGTTCAAGCTGGAGGGCTAACTCCCGTTCAAATCTTTGTTTTGTGGATGCTTTTCTGTAGCCACCCCGAGAATAGCTTCTAAATATAATACCAGATTTTATATGAAATTTTTAGAGATATTGTTTATTGCTCTAGAGATGTATGAAGACTTTGTTTCTGTTTAAAATTCTGCTTTGGTTGGTAGGATAATGTTATTTGGTTTGTCACAAATTTTTGCTTAAGAAATGTTGTTTATCGCCGTCATGACCAAAATTCCTATTTTGATATTAATAGTAAGTGGAACTGTGGACAATAGCTTGAAACAATAGTGACAAAATTTTACGAACATTTTCAAAAGTCAATTACCGTGTTACTACATAACAATTTATCATTGTTAAGCTGTAAGCTTTGTCAAGTATCGTGCGGCTATAACGAATTTAAAACAACAATCCGTTAAAACCCAATTAATATATTGAGTTGAACAAAATTCTAAGTTGTCAAAGTATTAATTGGAATTTATCGAATAAGCGGTGACTGGAGACTGAAGAGTAAATGGGTAATATATTATACCATCTTGATACGCGATTCTTGAAATTGTTCTGATTGATTATAGCCACTGGTTCAGGGCTAATAACCGACTTTCATTTATTCCAATTTCACAATTTCCATTGCATCCCAAAACTGTTAAAAAGTCATGAAAAATCAACAAACAAATTCGTTTTATCATCAAAGATATAAAAGTTAAGACGTTCCAAAGACGGGTCGATTATAGCTATTAAGAATCAATTTGGCAAAGCTATTGAAATCCCAGATCGTTGAGACAATAAGCAAGTAATCCTAATTTATGTTGATTCGTTTAGTCTTTATAGCGACAGATTACAGAGCAATAAAGTCCTGATTGTGTTCCGAACGACATCTAAATTGCTTTTGTAGAAGTAACGTGAGAGAAAGCTAATCAACTGTAAAAACTTGAAGTGGATGATACTGATTGTCCTGTAGAATGTAGAATTTGTTGCTTAACTAATTTTATTGGAGAATAAATTGTCTCTTTTTTACAAGGATTTTTATTCTTTGGGTGATATTTTTACGGTATAGGTCCGTATACAAGAAGAAGACTGGTCACCTGATGGTGTGCAATCAGAGCAAATAGACACCAGGAATATCCGAGTTCCAAGTGCGTTACTGCCTTTGAAGGGGGAGGCGGAGGGATTTAGTCTCTATTAACCGCGTTATTATTATGGTCCATTACGTACTATTGGCGATTTTTTTTTAATTTTGGAGTTAATCAGACGCCAGTTTGGTCGTCTACTTTTAGAAATAACATTCATAAGCCTAACTTAACCATTTTCATTTCTAAAACAGGAAGGCAGAAGTGTACGCGTACAATACAGATTTAGAGTTGCAACGTATCAGATTAGCTAATTGGAAGTTGATGCATGGAGGGACTGCGAAGGTGGCACGCCTCGTCAGAAAGATGGGCTCGGAGTTCGAAAAGGTAAATTAGCAAAATATATACCAAAGATTAGGTACTATAAGATGTATAAGGGATAGAATATTATGCTAGATATGTTGTAAAATTGAAATGATAAAGGACAAAAGCATAAAGAGGGGTAGATATTGAAGTTTCAACAAAACACAGTATTGGAGAAGTCCTTATTAGGACGTTAATTACAACTATTTATTTGTTTCAGTCGAAGCGTGGTGCCAAGGGTATGAGTCCGCATTTGGCTCAGAAGATGGCCGCTGAAGCGATGGCTAATGCAATGTCCACGTCTGGAGATACTCTCATGATGCTTGGACAGGCACGAGCCAGAATGGATATGGAAACCATTCTACCTTTGGCTCCGATACAAATTGTAGATGAGGTAAGACAGATTTTTGATTTCCTCGTTGGCCGATTATGGTCGCTACGCAAGTGCGACTGCCGCGCAAGGGGTCTCGGGTCGATTCCCGGGTCGGGCAAAGTATTACTGGGTTTTTTTTAATTCTTAGTAGTAGCACGGAGGCTGGAATTGTGCCCGGTATATGGCAATAGGCCCCCTATTACATGGGACTCATAACATAAATACATTGTACAGTGGCATTAAGTGCCTCTGCCTACCGCGTTCTGTTATGGCGTCATGTTATGTAAGACAGATTTTTATGGGATGGGGCAGTGACAGATCACCTGATGGTAAGCAAACGGATAACTTGGTGGTAAATAATAATCAGCGCCGCCCATGTATACCTCCACCACTAGTGGAGCTACCAGTGTTATCTTAAATATTATGACACATGTATTTTGTCTTTACTTAGGTAATCTTTAATTATAAGAACACACGTTTAATTTCATATTCGAGTAAATTAATCAAAGAGTTTAGAGAGTCTCGTGAAGTACGTGACGTATGTTGATTTCATTATATTGAACGCTGAAATTAATGAAATTTCCTCGCAAATGTTGTCGGCAAATGATTAATGAGTTTACATCTAGAATTGGTACAAGTTATCTTAATGGCGTTTTGATTGCCGTCCTAAAAATCCCATGGGACTTCTATCTAATAGTAGGATATAGAGAAATTGTATTTGTTATGTCTTTTTGGTTGGCTTATTGATATCGTACCGGTTAATGACTAAATTGAAATTACATCCGCTCTGTATCCAAATAGGTTCGTCTCCTATTAAGACTTATATCATTAGTGACGAGACATGCGTCTACGTTTTACCAAGCCATTCAGATTGCTATACATTTGATGGTAATTAATTAATGAATTAATTTTCCGCATCATTTACCGACGTCTAACAATATTATGCCTTGTATAGAATAAAAAAATCACAATACTTTCACCGTGATGCCTCTTAAATATTGTAATTTATGTAGGTCCACTTACTGCCGACATATGGAGACTATTATTTTGACCTCTGTCAACCGTAAACCCTCGTTTATACAGACTTTTAGGCATATGTTCTGCTGTATAATGTTTGTAAGTAATAGTAAAGGGCAGATACTACAAGAATTTAGGACTTATGAATTAATTTTCGTGTTACATAAATATCTTGGATACTCTGTTGTTGGAACTCGTGAAATTAACTTCAATAGTCACAAATACATCTAGGTACTTGATGAAATAAAGAAACTTAATACAAATTAAGAGTTTGAAAAGAGAGTGTAGGATAAAACTTACTACGTGGTCAACGGCGAGCACGGATAATTTGCCGCCCGTCAGAACCAGACGCAAGCGTACGGCGCATCAAAGAGCCATCAGACCACCACTGATGGGGCCCACAAGGGCTGATGCCGATACAGAGCCATGGAGGACTTAATGGGTTGCCGGGGCTACGACTCGAAGAGCAGAAATAGGAACGGGGTGGTTTTTGGTCAGTAAGAGACTGACACTCCTCTCGCCTCACCCAAGGCGGAAAGCCATTGTATGCATTTCGCCCCTCATAAACAAAAAAAGGGACCGCGCGGTTAACGTAGATTGCTGACTTACCGCTAGCCAGCTACACAGCGTATTCCTTTCCTGATTGAACCAGTTCTTTATGTGATCCACAAGTAGGTCCTGATCGGGAATTTTGTTTGTAAATAGACCCATGACATAAGCCATAGCCATAAATGTACTGTTATTAACTGTAAATGAATAGAAAAATGCATAAAATGCTTTGTCCATAGTTGTTGGAGTCCACTATCAGGGAGTTTGCTCGTCGTCGCGTGCACAATCTCCTTGTGGACGTGGAACGAGCAGTACAGGCTCGTGCCTCCCTGATATTCTTCCAGAACTTCAAACCTTCTACCGCCAAGAAACGGTAAGTACATAAACCTTCATGCATTCTTTTTGACTGCAGCAACTTTATTAGCCTTGCCTTGCTTTGTGGAGTAATTCTACTGAACCTCAGTTCAACGTGGGGGCTATTTGCCATAATGTATTATTATGAAGAAATTAATGTATGTTTCTGCCTTAAATATTTACTTTCGTATCGGGTATTCTGAATTCCATCTATATATATATAAAAATGAAACCCGTTTCCCGTTGTCACGCCATAACTTGGGAACAGCTAGACCGATTTAGCTGTTGTTTTTTTTTGTTGCGTTTGATATTATCAGGAGAAGGTTCTTATGACAGAAATCTGCAAATCCTACGGGAATAGGAGAAAACGGGATTGCGCGTACGAAGTCGCGGGCACAAGCTAATTTATAATAAATTTGTATTTCTCATCCTTTACAGTAATAAGCCGCGTTGGGCTCACCAAGTGCACTCGGAAATGACGCGTCAGTTCTTGCACCATCGTGACACTAGTCAGCTTGGGTTTGGTGAAGTCGTCAGGATAGCAAATGAAGAAGAAGTAGATTTTGATCTGAAAAGTGTTAAGGATCGACCGCCTACGCCAGTGGTATGTTTTTGAGTATTCTTAGTTTTATGATACAAAACTAGCTATTCCCGCGTGGCTTCTACCGGTCATCGCATAATGTTTTATAGCCTATAACCTTCCTTGATAAATACACTATCCAACGTAAAAATAATTATTAAAATCAGGCCAGTAAATCCACAGATTCACCGATCAAACTAATGAAACAAACAATCTCTTCTGATTCACATATAGATATACACATATAGATAGATAGATTTGCATCATAAACGAAACTTGAGAGTTCACAGCATATTCTTCAAGAAGGAGTTTATCTTCACTATTTTTTTTTTTTTTTTTTTTTTTAAGGGGGGAAAATCATCGAATGACTGCTCCCGCCTGGGTGAGGCGGAAGGGAGTGTCAGACTCTTACTGACTAAAAACCACCCCGTTCCTTCTCCTGCACGTCGAGCCGGAGCCCCGGTTACCCGTTAGGTTCTCCGCGACTCCGAATCGGCATCGGCCCTATTGGGCCCCATCTGTGGTGGTCTGATGGCTCTTTGAGGCGCGCGCGGAACGCGACGCGCCGTACGCTCGGGTCTGTTTCTGGTCGGACGGGGAGCCACCCATGCTCGCCGTCCGCAGGCCCGCGCTTACGGTGGCCGGAGATCGTCCCGCGATCCCCGACGCCCGGTGTGTCTTTCGCGATGGCTGGGTTGCGAGGAGGCAGCGCTTCGCTGCCTCACGCGTCCCGCCTCCTCCTTAGCTAGCATGACTGCTTCGCAAAAGGAGGAGACGGCATCCCAGTCCCCCTCGCTCCGCATCATGGCCTGCACTAGGCCCGGACGCGAGAGGTCGCCATCGCCGATCACTTCCCTGAGGGCACGGCGGTGCTCAGCCCACGCAGGGCATTCCGCTACGGTGTGTTCCACCGTGTCCTCAGGGCGGTCCTCGCAGTGATGACACCCGGGCGTTTCCTCCCGCCCCATCAGACACAGGTACCTCCCGAAACTTCCATGTCCGGTGAGGACCTGCGTCAGGCGGTAGGTGAGGACGCCGTAGCGTCTCTCAAGCCACTCCTCAAAGAGGGGACTTACCGCTGCAATGGCAGCGAGCCCAGCCCTCGGTTGCGACAGTCGTTGCTGCCATTCCGCCATGAGATCGCGCCGGAGCTCATCCCGCCACGCACTTATCTGGCGCGGCAGCGGAGTTTCGCCCCGGCGACGTGCCTCCGCGCGCATGTTATACACGCGCGCGAGCACCTTCGCCTCCAGATCCCACGGCGGTAATCCGGCAAGGAGGTTCGCCGACTCCCCAGCGATCGTGCGGTATCCGCGGATCATTCGGATCGCCATGACCCTCTGTGACTTGAGCAGCGTCCGAGCAGGACGCCGCAACAAGTTCGGCGCCCAAACAGGGGCGCCGTAGAGGGCCATGGACCGCACGACCCCGGCGTATAACCTCCGGCAGGAGGCGTTTGGCCCCCCGAGGTTGGGGAGGATGCGTTTGAACGCAGCCCCCGTCCTCTCCAACTTTGGAGCCAAACGTCGGAAATGCTCTATGAAGTTCCACCGACTGTCGAGGACGAGTCCTAGGTACTTCATCGCCGTCTCGACGCCGATGGTAACCCTCCCGCCGTTATTTGGGACCCACCCGGAGGTGGCGCGTTCCCGCGGCCATGAAAACACATGGCCTCGGACTTGTGGAGCGCCACCTCGAGTCCCAACTGCCGGATTCTTTCAACGACTGTCGCAACCGCTGTCGCCATTAAGTCGGCCGCCGCCTGGTGCGACCTCCCGTGCGCTAGCACCAGCGTGTCGTCGGCGTAGCATATTGTGCTAACGCCGTTCGGGAGGTCGGTGCGCAGCACCCAGTCATAGCCGATGTTCCACAGGAGCGGCCCCAGAACCGAACCCTGTGGAACACCGCGTGACATCTCTCGCCGGTTCCACTCGCCCCGGTGACCGGGGTAGCTGACGGACCTGTCCGTCAGGTAAGCCTCGATTACACGACGGAGGTAGGTAGGCACCCGATGATATCGGAGTGCCTCCAAGATGCAGCTCCAGGGCAGGGAGTTGAAGGCGTTGGCGATGTCCAGAGACACCGCCACTACGACCTTACCCCTGGACACTGCAGTCCCCGTCGTGAGGTCTCTAACGCGCATGATGGCGTCCACCGTGGAGCGCCCTCTGCGGAAGCCGAACTGGCCGTCCGACAAGTCCGGCCCAATGTCCGTCAGGTGCGCGACGAGGCGGTTCGAAATGATTCTTTCGAAGACTTTCCCCACCTCGTCGAGCAGCACTATGGGCCGGTACGCGGACGGAGAGTCCGCAGGGCGCCCCGTCTTCCGCACGAGGACCAGTTTGCCCGCTTTCCAGAGAAGCGGGAACTGGCCTCTCTCCAGACATGCGCTGTAGAGACCAATCAATCGAGGCCCGAGAGCCTCTGAGGCCAGGACCCATGCCTTGCCATGCAGGCCGTCGGGTCCTGGGGCGGTGTTCTTGGCGCCCATCCGGCGCACCGCCGCTCTCAATTCTGCCTCGGTCACCTCTGGGACGATGTCATCGTCGTCGTCGCTGTAGCCCGCGTCGGGCACCGCAGGGGGCGGAGTCATATACGGAGGGGTGAAGCCCCTCCACAGTCGGGGGAACAGGGCGCCAATCACCTCCTCCAAGACTTCTGGCCGGAGACTCTGAGTGAGCGGGGGAGCCCAAGCACGGAGCTTGTCGCGTACCATCAGGTACGGGCGTCCCCACGGGTCTCTATTCAGAGTCCCCAGCATCTCTCGGCGGGCCTCCTCCTTGGCCCGCAATATCTCCGCCTTGAGGAGGGCCTTCGCCGCCCTGTATCCCTCGTATAACTCCGCCTCTCTCGCCTCCGCATTAGGAGGACGGATACGGCGCCTGCGGTGCCTAGTGTACTGGCGTCGCGCAGTAGTGCACGCCTTGCGCAGAGCCGCCAGCTCTTGCGACCACCAGTACACCTGGCGCTTCTGTTGCCTCGACCGGATCCGGGGCATCGCCACGTCACAGATCCTGGACATGGCGTCCTGGAGCCACTTGGCCTCATCGTCAACGTCGGCAGGCCTGACCGGTGGTATCACCCAGGCCTGCACGATGGCGGCTTCCAGGAGCAGCTCCCGGTCCAGCTGTTTCAGCGCCCAACGCGGGCCACATGGGGCCTGTCTGACCGGCGGGTCTGCGGACTCGGCGGAGACGTCGAACCGGATATACCGGTGGTCGGAGTACGTCTCCACCTCCTCCATGACGCGCCAGCCAACAATACGCGGTGACAGAGCAGGGCTGGCGAACGAATGTCCACCACCGACTCGCCCTGCATCCGCACACACGTGGGGACAGAACCCCGGTTCAGGACGACTAGGCCTGTCTCAAGGGCCCAGTCTTCCACCATCCTACCCCGGACGTCGGTGAACCGGGAACCCCAAGCCAAGTTTTTGGCGTTGAAGTCCCCGAGGACGAGCACGGGGAGGGAACGGAACCCGACGACGACAGTGACCAACTCCCTCAAGGAGTTGTGGAACTCGGCGAGAGTTCGGTTCGGAGAGAAGTACACGCCCACCACAGCGAGCTCTCCGAACCGTGCTGCGACACAACCCCGGCCTCTTTGAGCAGCCTCAAGAGTCGGGGTACCGGCGGCGGCCGACGAGATGATGGTCACCGAGCCGTCCAGGTCCGCCACCCAGTGATCCCTGGGCAGGACAAAGTACGGCTCGGAGACCACGGCGACATTGATCGACCACTGCGCCATGCTCTGGAGCAGGAGATCCTGAGCAGCGGCGCAGCGGTTGATGTTCGCCTGGAGGAGGCGGAATGGGGCCATTATTGGCAGTCCATTCCGATCTCCTCAGTGGCGGCAGCGGCGACTGCGGTGGCAGTGGCGGCGGCGGCGGCGGAAACGGCAGGGGCGGCGGAGGGCCTACCTTTGCCCTTGGGTTTGGCGGAGGGGAGCAGCCTTTGCTCCCGACCCGGTGATTGGCCGGCTTGCCAGCCGCCGCACATGCATTGCAGTGCAGCGGGGCGTTGCACGAGCCGGCCTTGTGACCGGGCCGACCGCAGCGGAAGCAACAGTCGCTGCGGTCCACCTCCGAGGTGCATTTGACACTCACGTGCTCCCCCACGTGACAGCGGTAGCACCTCAGAGGCCGGGTCTCGAGCAGCTTGACCTGCGCCGAGACCCATCCCACCAAGAGCCTTTTGCCCTCCTTCAGCTTCTTGGCCGCTGTGACGGGGCAGCTGACCACAACAGTGCGCAGCCCCGAGTTGTCCGGGCGGATGGCGCCCCTTAACTGGTCAGCAGGGCACCCTCCCGTCCTGGCCACAGCGGCCACCACCTCACTCTCCGTGACGGAGTCGTCCAGGCCCAAATCCTGACATCCAGGCATTTGGTGGCCTGGACACGCGGGCCTCGTCCGCACCGAGGCACGCCCTAAGCCTCTCGGCCAGGGCGTCGGCCGATGGGCCGCTGGTCGCGCCGGGGACCTCCAAAAGACGGGCTCCGGTAGCGGTCACCTTGACCGCGAACCCGTCTGGCGCCCCGAACTCCGCAGGAGATACCGCCCCCTTCAATTTGGCGAGGACGTCGCCAAGTGACGCCCCTATTGACCGCCTCGGCTGCAGCGTAATCACTACAGCCGCGGTCTTAGGGGCGAGGAGCAAGGCAGCAGCGCGTTTCTCCCTGCGCTGCTGCTGCCGTCGCTGCCGCTGCGCCTTTTGCGGCGCTTCCGGCCCTCCTGGCGACTCTCCTCGCCTCGCCGGCGATTTGCCACCCGCCGCCGTCCTCCGCTCGCGGGGCGGGTTCCACCACCGCTGCCGCAACTCCAGCCTGCCGGGCTGGAGCGCCCTCCTCTCCTTGCGCCCTGCGGGCGCTGGCGCCGTCGGCGCAGCTGGGGTCTGCGCCGGCGGGGGCGCCGAGGCCCTCGCTGGGGCAGCCGGTCGCGCCTTGCCGGCGGTTGGGAGCTGCGGCTAGCCTGACCCGAGGTCGAAGGCTTGGCCGCAGCGGCCGCGTACGACCGCGGGACCGCGGGGGCGACCTGACTCGCCGCGAGTGGGGGGCGCAAGAGCCTGCCCTCCAGCACGTCGAAACGTCGCTGGAAGGCAGCCAACTCCGCCCGCAGCAGTCCGACTACGTCGGCCTCCGCCGGGGGCTGGGGGCGACTGCCGCGAGCAGCGGCGAGCTCGGCCCTGGCCGTCCGCAGCTCGGCCTCCAGAGCCGCATTGGAGGCCGCCAAGCGCGCCAGCTCTCGCCGCATCTCGGCCAGCTCGGAGCGCACCTTTCCCGCAGTGGGCACCGCACACTGCTCCAAGGCCGCCTCCGTTATTGTGGCCGCCGCCGCCTGAGGAGGCGGAGCCTAACCGGCTGGGATTTCCCCATCGCCAGCTTGTAGAGCTCCGCCGTAATGGCCTGTTGGAGGCCCCCGGAGCAGCTCTCGCTCTCAGAGCCGCGCTCGCCCTCCGACATCTCCACGCCGGACATCTCGGCCGCAGAGGACTCCGAACGGGCAGCGCTTGAGAGAGCCCTGCCCTCCGCGGCCAGCTGCTCGGCTGACTCCGCGCAGGCAGCTGGTGCCGGTTTCCGGCGACCGCTGCCCTTGCCGCCCCTACCCCGCGCTGCCGTGGGGACCTTGGGGGGAGGCGCCTCCTGAGCGCCGGAGGACGGGGACAAACTGTCCTCCTCCAGCCTGGGGCGTTTGAACGTCCCCGTCGCGCGGCGGCGTGAGCCTTTCGAGCTCACGCTCAGCCGCTCCGCCAATGTTGTGTCGGACTCTGAGTCCGACCCCCTCGACTAGACTCCCGTGTGTGGGGCCTGCTGGACGAGTCCAGCGCCTCACCACGAGTCCCGGAGCCACTTGGGCTCCCTTCTCCTGCTACTGCAGGCGAGCCAAGCTCACCCGCACTCTCCTCCTCCGGTTGTGTGGTTTTTTTTATTTTTGTTCATCCATAAAGTTCCCACGAGTATGGGGGAAATATTCGGTCCACCCAGGCAGTGCCCCCTGTACCTGGGTAAGTGTTCATTTGTTTCCCAACTAGAGGTTCCACTGGTCCCCTAGCTGGGGGTGCGCTCGCGACTGACACTACTCCTCAGCCATGCATACTCTCGCCGCGCACCAGAACTTAGTATTGGAGGAATTTTTTATAGAGGTTATCTTCCTCGCGGTCCGGGCGACCAAGCCAAGACCCTCGTCCCGTTCAGAGTCACAAAACATGACCGTGACCTCCTTACGGATTACGATATCGACGGCTGCAATCGGGGACAGCTTGTGTCCCGATGCTGCTCGCTGGCAGGGTGAGTGCACAACGAGCACCGCCATTGCCTCTCCGCCACGCTCTCTGCTATGTCCAGAGAGACGGGCGGAGAAGCGCCCCTCGGAAGCGCGGGCTATGAGCCTCCGCACACAGCCCGCCGCCTCCAGAACCCTATCGGGTTCGCCCGCCCAGTCCAGAAGTCTGCTGCGGGCGACAGTCACTCCAACCCTATCACCCCCGCTAGGGAGACTGTCGCCCGCACCCAGGGTGCACCACGGGGAGGTCTTCTGGCACCGCACCCCTTATCTTCACTATTGGCAGGCGGGTTGGAGACCAAAACATAACACATATATATATAATACTGTTATCAATATGTATGTTAAAATTAACTGTAAATCAGATGCTAAACAACATATTAAGCGCAGTAATAAAAAAATACTACGGCGCGTCGCGTTCTGCGCGCGCCTCAAGGAGCCATCAGACCACCACAGATGGGGCCTAACGGGGCTGATGCCGATCCGGAGCCGTGGAAGACTTAACGGGTTGCCGGGGCTCCGGCTCGAAGTGCAAGAGTAGAAACGGGGTGGTTTTTGGTCAGTAAGAGACTGACACTCCATCCGGCCTCACCGGGCGGGAGAAGTCATTGGATGATTTTCCCCCCTCAAAAAAAAAGGAAAAAAATACACTATTTCCCAAAAGTGCAAGAAATCAACAAAATAATCTATTACAGCCGTCGAAGACCAAACTGGCGGAGGTGACTTTTGTCGACAGAGTTGAAGATTTGCCCGATCCTGTACCCTCTTCCCTCCCAGAACGGAAGAAATTACTTGAGGTAATCAATCATTCATTAATGATTTGACTAATCGTTTCTCACCGATCTTAATTTTCGATAATTTCTAGAAATACATTAATAAATAATTAAGTTTTTATCACCTGAGGAGACTACTCTGTCATGGTCACCAACATCCTAAGCCAAAATAAGTACTTCATTAGGGTATGATCGTGAACTGCAATCACTAACGACCGAAATTAATACGGATGCGTAAGTAATCCAAAATATCAAACAATCTCAGTTTTCAACAAAAGGCTGGCAACGCACCTGTGTACTCGTCTGGTATTGCTCATGTACACCCGTACATGGGCGGCGCTGATAACTTATCATCAGGATCGCCTGGATCATCAGGAGCAGACGTATCAACATCTGCTCGTTTGTTTATTCCATAAAAAATCAGAAACTTCTTACAAATAATGTCGAAAAGTGTAGTTGATATATTGGCCGTGTCAATTAAAATGTATCTATTTACAACTTAAAGAATATGTTGGAAATACATAATAAGCAAAAATGTTACTTATTAGCGCACGTTTGCGATCTATTTTCAATTTGGCTCTCTAGTTTCTTGTCTTATTTAATTGACGCTTTATTTACACTCTAAAGAGAACCCTGTTAGCGCTGTATTTCAAATTAGTTAGTATGTAATTGTTGTAAAGGTTCGAATAACCAACTAAAATGTACCCAGTAAATAAACCTTTGTTTTGAAATACAAGTATAATTTCAGAACAAAGATTTATTGACAGTTTCAATTACTCAAACGAAATTCGAATTTGAACATTGATTTTGTTGAAAATGAATGAACAAAATGCTGAAATTTGACCTTTTGTGTGCTATTTAGTTAGCGCAGTGTATAGCACTTCTAGTCCTAATTAATGTCGCGGAGAACCTAACGGGTAACCGGGGCTCCGGCTCGACGTGCAGGAGAAGGAACGGGGCGGTTTTTAGTCAGTTAGAGTCTGACACTCCCTCCCGCCTCACCCAGGCGGGAGCAGTCATTCAATGATTTTCCACCCTTAAAAAAAAGTCCTAATGAATAGGTACAAAGAAACAGACAGAGACGTGACGAATACTACGTTTGCAGGTTGTATTTATTACAGACTTCAAAAAACGAAGAGGTACTGGATGTTCGGCTGATTGTTATTATTGTTTTTTTATTTGTGCACCGATTACTCCGCCTTTGTGAACCGATTTCCAAAATTCTTGTTTTGTTTAAAAAGAAGCGAGCGGAAGCTCATACCATAATGATGTAACTTAATGGCCACAAAATTATAAATTAGATATCTCCGACTTCTAACCTATTAATGGTTGGGTAACCTATCAGTTACTAATAATAGTTATTTTTTTCTTTTTAGTTTTTACTTTTGGTTTGTTATTATTATAAGAGAAATTAAATAGTAATGCTATGTAGCATAGGGAAATTAGAAGCTCAAATAATTTAACTTTGTTGATCCTACACTTATTTCTTTGATACATTTAGATGGTCAACATATCAGCGAGGTTGCTCTCCAGATCTGTGAGCCAGAAGGTACAGAAAGGCATGGACACCACAGTGGGGAAGGTGACTCTGCCACCAATGCGGCATCCCAGTGAGTCAATTCTTTGATAATCTGAAATGTAGCTTTAAAAGTAAAAGAAACCCGTGGCTATAAGTTAGAATTAGATGAAATTTGTTCGAAGACAATAAAATGGAGATTTTCACAGGAGAGCAAAGTCTTTACAATCAAGTCGGTAGTATGTATGTGGTAGGTATGTACAGAAACCAAAAATTGGATAACCTGCTGTTATTGACTTGAACACAGAAATGGTCTATTTAGTTAGTAAATTCCCAATTTGTATAAATTCAAAATGCTTGTCTAACGCTTGTCTATGTAATGCATTGCTAATCTTGCAAGGGCTGTAGTGTGAATTTAATGGCATGTCATAGAAAGTCTGTGCCTTTAGCCAAACGCCACTTTAGCGTTCATCTACCGAGAGAGTAGAAAACTAAATGTATGGGGATGACACTGACAAGTATTAAAATTTACGTCAATCCCATATAATTTGGTTTTCTCTTCTACAGACAAGCGCTAAGTGGCATTTGGCTACAGGTGCTGATATTCGCTCATAATAATGATGATACTGAAGATGATGAGAACAAATCAACACAATTTCTTTTATAGTGGAATGGGGTGAAGCGGTGGAAGGTCTCTCGACGGCCGTTGTGGATAACCGCATCAACGCAGACTGTGGCGATGTGCGCCGCACCAGTGACTTCCTCACGCACAGAGTACTGAAATCATTGATGAACAGCATGAAGTTCGAGAGAAAGGTATGTTACCTTCCTTTTGGTACTAGATAAAGGTGCACATGTTCACTTGTTGGTCTATATTTCTTTTATGTACCAAATTACACAACAAAATACTAGTCCTATTAATGTTATGAATGTCAAAGCTTGTGTTTCTTTGTTACTCCTTCACTTCGAAACGGCTCAAGGGATCGTGATTTCATTTAAAATAGGCATAAAAATAACAGATAGGCCAATTTTGTCCGACGAGAATGCGGATGAAGCCGCTGACAATAGCTGATGGTTTTATATTTGGAAATAGTTAGGAGGCCAGGAAACATCATAAAACAACTTTTTCCTTCGATCACGAGGGTAAAACCGTGGGCAGAAGGCTAGTATTATATACTGAGTAATTTGAAATTGGCATTATTACATTACTCCTTTCAGATATTTTGTCCCTTGCTTAAAGCAGTTTATTTATTATTATACAATTTTATTTATTTTTTGTTTCCACGCAGAGCGGGACTATACCAACGCTGAAAGATGTATAATTCGATTGAAGTAGAAAACGAATATTATCGTCATTGGAACTTTTTATTGGTGCGATTTTTTATTTTGTATTTTTTATATTTTATTTTACTTTTCATCTTTTGAATGCAATAGAAACAGTTTTTGCTTTTTGTGGTTGACACATTCATTGCATACTCAAATACCGGCTTTATACTTCTCTTTAGGCTTGTCACTTAAGGAAACGAAGTTTATGTTGCCCCTAATAGTAATTTAGTAAGAGTAACATAAGCGCTTTATCAACCCTATACGATACTGTTGAAGCATGTTTTAAAGCCAATAACAGGGAAGCTATTCTATAAAATAAGAAGTCTGGGCAAAAATATTCTTGCAAAGATTTAATTTGAATAAAATAGTTGTCTTTCTCAAGCTGATGTTATCTTAAAGCTACACTTGGGAGCAAATAAACAGAGTCACTAGAGCTTTCTTTTTATTCTATCGAATCCTCTATAACTTTCTATAGCTCTCATTTTAAATTTTAAAGGCAACAAACAAAATTGCACTTTATACGACATATACATACATACACAACCTTAAGCCTGTCTCCCATAGAGGTACGCAGAAACTATGGAACGCTACTTTATACGACATACGTTACCGATCAAAAAGTATTGTACACACGGCTACACATCGAGCTTTACATAACCAGTATAAACTATAATAAATAATAATAAATTTTATTAATAATTCAAAAATTGCGAAATACAAAAACATATCTTAAATACGTACAATTGTCCTCACAATGTTATAAACTGAACGTTAAATGTGCGGAAAGATGATGCGACGCGACACCAGGATAAACTGGTTTTGTCTAGATTGATGTGTGGCCGTGCCTATCAGAAAATATTTATCAAGAAATTAAATTGAAAGAACGCTCCAGTCTCTTTGCTCTCAAGTGTAATTATAAAAACTTATTATTCTATCTTCTTAACACTTTTAATTTTCAGCAGCTTAACGACTTGTCAGCTGAAACGCATGATTTTTACGTGCCGGATGAAATCAAAGACGATACAGGCAAGTCGTGAAAATCAGCGACTAGAAGGATAATCGTTTTGGTGTTAGTATATATTAAATAAAATGTTTTTTTTATATTATTTTGTATAAAATGTAAAAAAAAATTTTTTTACCGTTGTGGTGACTTGTTAGAATTGCTTGTGTACTGTGTACATTATTTTTAGTGGACTTTTTTGTACACAAAAAGTTAAATATGATAAAATAACTTTGTTTTTGTACATAGTGTGGTAAATTCATTTTGGTTCTTTCATTGTCATTTATACTTTTCTAATTTTGTTTATTTTTTCTAAGACTTGTTTATGATGTTTAAATAATTATGTAAAATTATTATTTTTTATTGAAATGTTTATGAATTTATTTCGTTATTGAAAGACTTTTTGTAATAAATTAATTGTAATTACAACTTTCTTGTTTTACTTTAGTAGTCAGTTCCTTCATGATTTGTAATTAATATAATAGATAATTTGTATAGATAACATCTATACAAATTAGAAATATCGAGTTATTGATTTACTGTTTTCTTCGACTACGACTATAAAGTTGTTTGTTTGCATTAAAGAAGCTTCGAAACTCATAAACCGAGGCAAATGAGCAGACGGTAAGCGATCGGCGCTGCCCATGGACACCTTGGAGAACGCTCTTTTCTTGAAGGAAAAATATTATCGAGAATCTTAGTTTCCAAAGAGTACCTTAACGCCCGAATAATGAAAGGCAAATTAAATTTTAAATTGTACTTAAATATCGTGCCATCTCTGTCATTTTACAAAGAAGAGATATAGTAACAGCCGTATTTAACCACAACTTAAAATTGTGTAGCGTTTTAGTATTTCGATATTACTCAGGCAACTTTTCGTTCCGAAATCCCTGCTACTACTTATTAGGTACACTCGGAGAGCAATGACAATACCATGCAGGCGAAGCTGAAGGAAGCGGTAAGCTAGTGCTTCGTCATCACAATGCAACATTAAGAAATATGATATTCGTTCATGCTTGAAATAGGTATCAGAGTTAAGTACCGATATTTTTATTAGAACTTGCAAGATTGTATGTCTACGGCTATACGGCCATGGAGTTAGTAAAGATTTTTTTGACATAACATCAGATTTGCTAAACAACACTGTTGTTCACGAAACCATTACCAATTTTAGCTGCAAAGCTACATCAATAGACCAGTGAATGGTCCAAAAAGAGGCAGTGACTTACTTAATTTCGATGTAGAAGTCTCGAAGTTTCGACCCAGCTTATTGTTGGAGGGTGTAATTTTGGTCAAGCGTTGCTACGTGATCTGAGTACGATACAATGTACTTATCTCAAGCTTGTTGCCCTGACGAGCTGCTTTCAGATGTAGATTGTACGAAAGAACAATCTGCGCCCTGAATGTAAAACATTGCAAACCACTTCTTTTCTATTATAAAGAACAAAACACTGCTTTGTTAATATTGTAGGCTTGTGTTTATAGAATATTGGTGGGATAGCATTATGCATATTTAGAATGGCGTTAACTCGGTCTTAGAAATGCTTAACGTGACCCTTCCTAGCCCACACAAAACCTACTTACAGAACGAGCTTTCTAACCAAAAAGGTCTCACACCAAAACTAAACTAAAGACAACAAAAAAAAAACGAACAACATTTCAAAATCGAAACGTCACACAAAGTCAAAATTGGAATAAAAATGTGAACATAAAAAATATATACCACAACAAGACAAAAAATAGCAGTGATGCAGCTACTACACGAAAACAAAACTCTTTTGATGGGCGTGAAGGATAGGAGCATGAGCACCAACGTAAGCGTGAAAGAACAATTGGAGACCATGGAGGTGAAAGAGAAGAGGTCATCGGATGCATCATTGCTCCTGATGAACCCGGTAGCAAGCGGTGACAATGTTGCTACCGGGCTCAACTCGGCTCACAAACTGAAAGAAGAACTGCCACCGCTCGTGCCGTGCTGCGAAGGAAGAGAACTGCAGGTGATTGTGATCTTATTTTGTAGTGTCGTCGTTGATTTGTAGGATGTTTTCAATAATTTACGTTTACCTAGTACCTCTAAGATGGAAAATTTATCATCCTATCAAATCAAACGGGGTGATTACGTAAGGCTCATTACTTCTTCATGTGAGAAGAGTTTTGACCAGCACTGGTACACATGATATGATGATAATGGAAGGTAATTACTTCGCATAGTTCTAATTAGTTCTTCTTTCACTAATGCCATAATCAAGTTCCTCTATAGCTTTCAATATGTTAATAAATATGACGTTAAATGTTTTATATTAATTAAAATAACTGCTAAAGCATACGAGGCAGAAACATAACCAGACAAATCAAAGAAACTTGAAAACAGAACTTGCAAAATGGCCAATTAGATACATGACTAAGTTGACGCAAATCTTTCATTTATGCTGCAGAACTTTTAAAGGCATTCAAGTTGAAAACATTAATAGTTCTAGAACAGTATTCAACGCGGCCATCTGTCAAATTGCTGTCGGGGACTATGAAAGCAATTTTATCGTATTCCCTCTGGGACCAGCTTTTAATAACACTGATGACACTTCACGGATTTCTTGTGGTTACATTTAATGTTATTCCCTGTAATAAGACTTAGGCTCTTAGAAATAGTTTTGATTTATTTTAGCTATTTAGTTAAGTTAGTAATTGAGTACTTATTTCTTCGAGAAACCTTAACTTTTATTTAACAAATCATTATCCTTAGGCGTTGTTGAGCATCGCAGTAACTTATTAGCAGTGTCACGGCTCTTTCTTGAAACCAAATTTTGTGTTTCAATCAGCAGAATTGTTAACTTTGAGTTTAGGATAATGACGCCGTCAATTTTCTGCGATTTTTTTGTAGAACCATTCAAATTACAGTCATCGAAAATCAAACAAGTGATAAGCAGCGAAAAATCTTAGATGACATATCAATTGGCTAAAACGATAGCTAGATGTTGTTATTTTAGATATTATTTCGCAACAATTATGCAGGACCACTACGGTCTCATACTTTCCTACAGCGACGATAACGATGTAATGCAAGAAAACTCTGTCATGTCATGAAACAAATTCAAATATTTGAATATCGAGAAGGCTCTCCTTACACAAAACAATCTGTGGTAGGTACAGGTACCTAAATTAGTAATAAGATCCCTACTTTATCTGCAGGTAATACGTTATTAAGACTACTTCTGAGATATTTTTAAAAGCTCAGTTAAAAATTGCCCGACCCGGGAATCGAAACCGGCCAACGAGGCAGTCCTTATAAAATTAAACCTACCTAGATAAACTTAAGAATAGGTACCTACTGGTAACAGCGCAATACCTACCATGGATTTTGTTAACACAACAAAATACCAACTTAACAAGGCACCATGTATGTACCATACATTCCATTTAGCACTTTCATTTGACCATTCGGCTTTACCATCGTGTCGGGCAATCAATAACACAATATTAAAGTCTGGTCACCGCATCAAATGAGAACGGTCCTGTCTTTCTGATTGATGTGCTCCAATATACTCGCCTCGTGGTCTACTCGCGACATAGTTTATTCAGCAGAAACATTGATTAAATATATCAAACGACATTTCAAACTGTAATGAAAAAATGAGAAATTCTCGTACCTATTGAATTTGTTTCGATTTCAAAGTTAACCTACTAAATAGGTACAATGTTATTACTATTGATAACAAATTATTATTGTCGATCTAATTTTATTTTGCAGTAGCTTCCACTTCTAACACCTATGCGTCAACTCGCTTATTATGTATCTGTTTTAAGTAATATTTTCTACACACATCTCACACTTATTCTGCCTTCCTTCCCAAAATGTTTTAAGCCTAGACCACGCGTCACGCATTATTAAAATAGTACGTAAATCACAATGTTCGCTCCAAGTTCTGTCTCGCTGCATTATGACAACTGATGTAGAAAATTAATGAAAATATTATGGTACATAGCCGTCATAAAGCATTGCTATTGGCTAGATTTTCTACAAAGATTTAAAATAAATATGTACATGCTGCTGGCATTCAAATTTCAAATTCGTTTTAATAACGTTTGAGAAAATGTAGTGTACCTACAGCACGCAGTTCCTTGGTTAGGTTTCTTTATTTTTCTTCAGCTCCTTTTGTGTCGGTATATAAGAATCAAAAGGACACCAAGGGAACTTGTACGAAACTGGTGTAAGCTGAAATAATAATTCAATAATGATATTAAAAATGAAATCACTTATTATCTAGTTCAGCAGTATTGGAATGGTCCTACTCATTAAAATACTTTTTCTCACAGATAAACGAGGACCTAGTAAGAAGTGGACTGTCAGCAATTTCCGTGAAACACGACAGCGTGATACAATGTTTGAGCATGTCACGCGCCTGTGAACGGATGCAAATACCACCGGGTCTCGTAAAGGTAAAATAAGTAGAAAAAAAAATTGTAAGCAATATAAATCTTAAGACAAATACCTAGTAATAAATTACCTAGGTACAGCCAACAGCAATCTAGCCATTGGTTTGGCAGAATGGCAAACATTTTAAGTTTGATTTATTTATGGTCTAGGTATTCTTTTTTAACCTGTTTCAGTCTTCTACCACAAGTGAAACAAGTGCAAAATTGACGTGTAAAAGTGCTCTTTTACACGTTTTGGTATTTTATTACGCACACGATGAGGCCTATATTTCCTAACTGACTACTCTGAGAAGAAATACCGAAACAAACTTAGACCTGATGTTAATGCTAAAGAACCAATGTTTTGTATCTAAGTAGCCTACTTACTACCTACCTGTCGCGGAGAACCTTACCGGTTACCTACCGGGGGTTACCGGGGCTCCGGCTCGACGTGCTCGACTTTTAGTCAGTAAGAGTCTGACACTCCCTCCGGCCTCACCCAGGCGGGAGCAGTAATCCGATGATTTTCCCACCTTAAAAAAAAAACTTACTACCTACCTACTTATAGTATATAGGTAGAAGTGTGTCCATATTTGCTTTATACTTTACCTATATTCAATACAATATAAATAAGCCTAATACCTATTATCTGATTAACTCGTCGAGTACCGTATTTATAGACACAATTAAAGAACAATAGGTTGCGGTCACCGGTGACCGCTTGGTGTTTGACAGTTTAAATTGGTTTTATTATAACATGAAACTTTACGACCAGCATCGAAATTCCTTCCGAAGCCTTCACCGGCCCGACTTGAAGCGTGTTCCGTACCTGCGTCGCATGTCCCCTGATGAACTGGAAACATTATTCCGTGGATACGCAGACTTACCCACACGAGGGAATAATAAAAGTGGTGAGCGTTGTTTTCAAAGATCCTTCTAAGACTTAGAATCTAAGGAAATATAGTCGTAGACCTAGGTAGGCTACTGTTTATGGGAAGATGTTTACCAGAATTATCATCGCTACCCTGTAATAATCTGTAGGCACTATTAATATTCATTATTATTGAATTGTATTTCATTGCAATTAAATCAAAAATTCCTTTCAAGAATCACAGGCGTAATGTTTGTGAATCTTAATAATCAAAAAAATTTACATATATTTTATAATGCTTTTTAACGTTCAAATTGTTTGTCTAACAGATTTTAGAAAGGGATCCATTTCAGACGTTCGTGATGAGAAACCAAAGAACAAACTGCCACCCGATGAGAATGGTCAAGTAATAGAATCTGACCAAATCACCAGACCTGATGAAGGTGTGTATGTCTATCTACTGACCATTTTTTTTTAAGGGGGAAAATCATCGAATGACTGCTCCCGCCTGGGTGAGGCGGGAGGGAGTGTCACTCTTACTGACTAAAAACCACCCCGTTCCTTCTCCTGCACGTCGAGCCGGAGCCCCGGTTACCCGTTAGGTTCTCCGCGACATCTACTGACCATAGGACTGCTGAATTTAAAAAGCTTCCTCAACTGATAGTTTATCAAACTTATAATAATTGTTATTGTCGCGAAGACCTAAATTTCTATTTTTAAAGCTTAAGCTTTTATAATACTGACTGCCGTTGGCCGAGTGAAGTCGCAAGTGCGACTGCCGGGCAAGGGGTCTCGGGTTCGATTCCCGGGTCGGGCAAAGTAATACTAGGTTTTTAAAAATTTCAGTAGTAGCACAGAGTCTGGAAATGTGCCCGGTATATGGCAATAGGCTCACCCCCTATTACATGGGACTCATAACATAAATAGTGAAAAGTGGGTGTTACATTGTACAGTGGCATTAAGTGCCGAAATGTGCACCTCTGCCTACCCCTTTGGGGGTAAAAGAGGTGATGTTTTGATGTTGTTATGCTTTTGTAATAAAATTGAATATCTTCTTACTTAATAACCATTATCTTCTTCCTACATAGGTAACGGTGCCAACGCCTTACTTCCGATCCTGGAGACACGGTCGGGCGCCGAGGACGTGCCTGCCGGCATGAGGCTGCATGGCGCACGGGCGAGGCTCTACACCTCCGTCCTCGCCGGTGCCAAAGTGGGTGATCAGTTGGAGTGAGTAAAATATTTTACCTGTTCCATTATGCCACCGTTTCTGAGGAGAGCTCTCCAAATTTAATGGAAGTCTAATAGTAGGGCTGGTATCGGAAACTCCTTATAAGACAAAATATATTTTATAACATAGTACCTACTAACCAAAGTCGGGATTATATATTATGCTTATCACCATGGAAAATTTATATTCATTAGTCTAATTCGGGAATTCGGTCTGTTACTATTTATAAAATACTACTATCGCCTATAATTATCTTTATTTACCTTACCTTTATCACAATGAAGGCATTATAATGATGTGATTATTCTATTCTAGTGGTGTTTCAACTCACGAAGACTTCGACACACGAGTCCCCGATGACCCAGTTCCCGACGAAGAAGTCCAACTCAACGAGGAACTACAAATCATTCTCCCTCCACGCTATGATGACGTCACAGCCGACTCTTCCATTACAAATAGTTCCATGGAACAAAACTGCAGCTAGACCAAAATACACCACACCACAATGTGTAAAGGTACAGATTAGAAAAGATCGATTTTTTAATGAAGTTCAATGTGATACTCAGTATTGGCTTGAAAGCTCGTCGGAATATGCTACGGCTGGTAAACATATCAAGGAAAAAAATTGCTAGACTAGCCATGTACATGGACTGGATGATCAGTGACTTTGTTAAGAAAGTTTGATTTACTATCTATTCCCATTAAGTCTGAAATAAAATACAGTTACGATATTTTTGTACGACTATTATTGGTACTCGAGTTCACAGGAATAAAACTATATGTTTCAAGGGTGAATTTATATTGAATTTATCTTTCTACAATATTATACAATAGGTTTTTAATTAGCAACGCTTTCGCGCTAAACCCGACGGTACATCACCATTTAAATTATAAATATTTTTACATCACCGTGCAAAATAGTTGCTAGAAATTTTAATTGCACTTTAAGTTGAAAATAAAACGATTATCAAAGTTAAATCAGTTCTAAATTTGTAAGAGCATGACCCATTGTATATTGTCATGTCTAAGAGTATTACCATCGATCAATTCGAACATTCTAGAAAATAAGCATACATTAAATGTTCTATGAAATATATTTATATCACAAAGTATAGGTGAGTTTTAACAGAAAAAAGTTAACATAGCTCTCGTAGTTACTCGCAATTACACAATTCTAGATGTAGGCTAGAAATCAGTACAAAAAAATAGTAAAGATTACCGAAATTTTAGGCTATGGACCTGGAAATAAGAGCTAATTTTGATTAAACACGTGTTCCTATTATTGAGAGAACGTTCTAGATCAAATGTTGAGGCGTAAGACGATTTTGTATTAGTAATTATTGTCTCACGTACATTTTCATTCAAATTCTATCTACTTTCTAACGTCTGCTGTGATACTAGGAGTCCTTATAACCCGTGAAAGGGCGGGGATAAAACGCACAGAATTTCTTAATCATAAAAAACTGAGTCGTTTTTGTGATGTTCTACAATCTATAACTAATCCCCGCGCCGACGCTACCAACAAGGACGATTACAGGCTGGCTCACCCATTGTTAACTTGACCAGATTTTAACAAATAGGGATGATGACGGAACACGAAAATTAAAAATCTTTTTAGTCCGATTTAGATGAGTAAATTATTAGACACGTATTTTTTATTTCGTCGTATAACAAAACAATACTTAGATAAAACGAATTAATATTTAGAACGAAACTAGTCACGTCATTTCTAAGTATAAAACGTATCGTCGAAAGTATTTGCTTCCGTAAGAAAATAAAAATACGTGTCTAATGTTTTAAATTAATCTGTTAGACGGACATTAAATAAAATTGAGTCATCTACCCTATTCTCTTCAAAATCCTGTCAAGCTAAGTTCACGATTGTCAAAGATGGAACCAGCCGAACTAGCAATAACTATTACTTAAACAATCAACGACATCGATGTTCTAACTCTCATTGAGTTCCTAATTTCGTTGAATATATTAATTTGATACATTAACGTTATATCTAAATCGTATGGAAAATCTATTTATTGCTATACTCCTCATGTCGTTTCCATCGTCGCATAGCGTAAGCTTATTAAATGCTTCGAAAAATGTACAGAGGGCTTAGTACCAGTTTTTTTTACGTTACAAGTAATCGAAACGAGTTAGCGTTCGGCGCTCTGATTGGCCGGATTCAATGAACCAACCAATCAGAGCGCCGAATGCAGTCTCGTTTCGATTACTTTTATATTTACGTCCACGTAAAACAAACTGGTACAAAGAACAACGAACTAATGAAGTGAGAGTAAAATTCGTATTGTTACAAAAAATCTATGCATCGTGAGGATTCCGTTGACATAAATGTGTTATCGACTTTTTCATGTCACTGTGTACCGAGGTAACTTGACTTGTTTCAAGTCGCGCTCGGGACTCATAACGAGCGACGCACCCAACTGACATCATCGTCTGTGGATGAGTGATAGTTCAGCCCCTAACATATCTTGAAACTAGTCGGGTTAACTCGTCAAATAGTTACTCAAGCCGGAAATCATAATTATTTTAATGTCTCATGAAGGTGTATAATACTCCGTTATAATAAATTGATTCCTACTCATAAACAATCAAGCCTGGGCATACAGTTTGCATCTAAAAATCAGCCTTGTATAAGCAAATCACCCTTTGGCAAAAGCCTTCACAAAACAAAGCTATAAAATTTAAATAATTCGCTAGAAAAATCTCATTTCAAGGTCCATTCATGAGCCGTATTTACAAAATCAGGTGGTCCCCGTACTGACTCGACTACTGGTACAGTTTTAGTGCGCTTTACTAAGACAGACTGTATTGGCTTGACATTCAAGTAGTGTATTAAGGAATTACGATTAGTTTTTCAATTGAATCAATCAGTATTTAACCCTTTGAGTACCGTCATTATAGACACAATAAGAACAATAGGTTGCGGTCACCGGTGTCCTCGCGGAACTGGACGTTAAAGAACAATAGGTTGCGGTCACCGGTGTCCTCGCGGTCTTTGACAGTTTCAGACTATTTTACCCACAGCTAAGGTGTTAGTTTAGCCTGTCTATATATATAGTCTGTGGCACCCTAGCTCCTAAACGAATGAACCGATTTGAGTACGATTTTAATTGATGTAATCACGTGCCGTTACAGAATTAGTAAATCAAGATTATAGACCAGGCCACGTTTTTAAGATTATGTCCTCGCGACAAACACAAGACGTATGAATAACAAGCGTATTTTACACACAATCAGCTCAATCTTAGTAAAGCGCCAACACCGTCCAAAGAATCACATAGAAAGCAGAAAGCAATATTCATAGTTCATACATACATAAGAAGATTTTGTCTAAAACGTTTCGCATACAAAAATCAACATTCAAAACAGCGACAGTAATAAAAATATTCTTCAATATGTACATACATTGCTTCAATATTATGTACATTATTGTATCAGGGTAGCTTGACTATTGTTACATGGTAATAAGATTCAAATTCGAGTGCACATTTGTTAGTCAATTCAAGTTCACATTTCAATTAGTGCGAAAACTAATTCAAGTGAAGCGAATAGTGTTATAGTAATTTTAATATAAATAATTTTAATATAAATTAAATAGTGATGTATAACATGTCAATTTTAAATTTTAAATGTCCTTATAAATAATGAAGGGTAATTTATGTTTGTTAATATGTATTGATTTGATTGATTTGCTTACCCTTTGATCTGTATGAAGTTTAGCTAACAACAGTCAAGCCACGCTATACGAATGACCTACGCAGCGTGCATAACTATCACTTAAATATCCATAATAAACAATATTGCGACCATCCATACGTAGTCCTCGATTACCCACAATAATGCATTAGAAACTTTTATTCTACCTTATTATACAAAGGAGGTAAACATTAACTAAATAAAAAAAAATCATTTTACTTTATGTAATAATTCTTTAAATAACATAAAAAAATAATCGAATATCGTTACAACAAAACTTTCTAAATTTGTTTTTTTTTTATTATTTTTTAAATATGGAATATTTGATTTTGTGACAAGCGTTCGCTTGCTTGCTATCTAAGGTTGTGTTCACACGGACAGTCTCTCGCACCGTACACTGCGCACTGGAGCGTTTTGTCTGTATAACCATTATAAAGAATCAACACTGGTATTCACAATGACGTTGCTTGTTCCGGCACACGGGCGCTTACTTAAATTAAATGGCATCGACATCCTCACCTGGAAACAGAGAAAAAATCGAAATAAATAACTGTCCATTTCATTTATTGGAATGTATTAATTTATATTTATAAGGCGAAGGGACAAGCCGGCAAATAAGCAGACGGATCACCAGATCACGCGACTCGAGCAATCGCGCTCGGATTACGGAATTTTAGCTAAGCACTGGCCTTTTTGCACCGTGTACATTGTGCTGTTTTATTAACTATTTTTTCTTGTTTTTTTTTTGTATAATTTCTATAACGGTGCAAATAAACTGTTTTTATTTTTCTTTCTTACTTTCTGGTAGTAAGCAATCGGCATGGCGCCACCCACGGACACCCGAAACAAGTGCGTTGCTAGCCTTTTGACGAGTTAATAATTTGAGGATTAGGGATTCGGGAATTGGGGAGATTATGGTGGGTAACTTAACCAAAAGCTACATTATTATGATAAATATTGTGTAGTAACGTACCGTGGCGGGCGCGGCGGCACAGAGCCGCCTACTCTGCAGCTCATAACTTGTGGTTGCTAGTGAGCCAGGTGAGCCCCTCGTACAGCCCGTCGCCTGACGTCGCGCACGACGGCTGCACGTACCAGTTGCGGTCTCTGATGCGCGTCAACCCCAACTTCTCTTGTATCTCGTGGGGTTTCATTGCTGAAATTATATAAGGCAAAATGTTAAATAAAATTGAAATGCAACCGAAATAAAGAAACCGTTCGGCATCTTTTAATACGCCAGGAAATCAGCTTTAATTATTTTACAAGTGATTATTAAGTCGTGATTTAAGAACATATGTTATGGAGCAAGAAATTGCTAAGGACTGAAACGCGAGATTTTTATTAAAAAAGGCGAGATTTATGAAGCAGAAGAGCAAAAGTCAGACGAATACTTCTTCAACGGACCAAGCACTAGAAACATTTATCTTACGTACTGATTTCTTTTTTCTCTAATTCAAAAAAGCTTATTTCAGATGTAGTAGGTATAACATTAAACGCAAAAGCTCGGCCAGGAACAACACCTTGAATTAAATTATTCTGACTACGAATAAAAAGAACACCTGCAGCCGTATTTTGATACTACAAAATTCGTGTCAAAGGAGGGTCAACCGCGGCCTACACCTGCCACTGGCTCCTCATAGATGCGACCTTTGACCATAAAATTAGTATGACGAGCACATCTCTCGTCACTTGACAAATGACCTAGATTCCTTCATTTCCTTTCGTGTCTAATGTGCAGACACATTCACTCTGCTACGACTATAATAGACTCCGTACCAATATCAATTGTGATGATAAAAAAGTTTTCGAAACTACGGCAACTGCTACCTACGCATTACTATAGTTTTCTTTATTTTTGATTTGTAATAAAAGATTCGATAAGCAGCGTGCGCAGTCGCGGCGATGTCGATGAGTAGGCTGCGCGCTGCTGCTCATGAGGAAGAACCCCTCTGTGGTTCGAAACTAGTAGAGCTTTTCTCAGTATATTCACGTGAGTAACCCGCGACTTTTAGTTAATTTAGTATGTCTCACGATAGTTATTATAAATAATATATTTTTGTGCTACAATCACACTAATCCACATAAAAGCGTATGCACCACCAGATAATATATGAACACTCTATTTTTTGCCGTTAATTGGAGAAGCAATGTGGATAATTGACGTGTATATTACCACGTGTATAAGCTGAGAGACGAACGTGTTCTCCATACTTTTGTCAATGAAACTGGTAACCATTATTACAGTAATACATAATATTGGATCTTATTATCTTGTTTGATAGCCGCGATACAGGCTATGCCTAGTTCGGATTTCACAGCTCAAATTGTAAAATTGTAACTGGTTTATGAATAGATTATTTCTATCTTTCTTTGTTTATTGAAAATTACCCAAGAAACAAAGTAATATTTCATACCATCAGGCAAGTCCTGTTTGTTAGCGAAGATGAGTATGATCGCGTCACGCATCTCTCTGTCGTTGATGATCCGGTGCAGTTCCTGACGGGCCTCATCGATGCGGTCCCTGTCCGCGCAGTCCACCACGAATATTAGACCTTGAGTGCCTGGAACATTTTGTTAAGACATTAGTCGCAGTTTTACCTGCTTGCTATCGCCATCTCAATCCCATGGCATGACAATGCGGTTGCTGGGGTGACGGGGGTGGTAGGATACATTTTGGCTATTGATTTTTATCTTAACTTTTATAGGAGAGATAGGTAGAGAAGCACTCTGGCTAGGGAATCAAACTTAAGTCCTCTTGGACTCTTAAACTGTTGATATAGAGAGTACAAAAAGACATCTTAAGTAAAATTAGGAATATCGCAATAACATTACGTCTTAAAATAGAAATTAAAGTAATTTATCATCGTAAACTGCTGTCTAGGCCAAAAGCAATTTGTCTTCCATAAATCTGAATTCAACTGTAACCATCTTCCAATTCGCCATTTCATCTTATACTATAATCCTTTTGACTAATCAATAATCTATTTCAAAGTTTTCACTTATAATCCCATCTTAAACTTGTAGACATAAGACATAGGCGAAAAAAAAATGTAACATAGGTATAAGTTCTATGTTACATTTCAATCAATTTGAAATTGTTCAATCATTCTCAATTTTATTCTAAAAAATTCTTTGTCAACAAAAGTTTGCGTAGGTATGAAAAAAATCTATAAAGAATAAATAAATAAAAGAAAAAATACACACCTGTATAATAATGCCTCCAAAGAGGTCTTATTTTGTCCTGCCCTCCAACGTCCCAGACGTTGAATTTGACGTTTTTATACGTTACAGTTTCGACATTAAAACCGACCGTAGGTATCGTTGTGACTGACTGACCTAATTTTAATTTATATAAAATAGCTGTAGGTTTATTTTAAGGAATTATTGTTCTTTTATCATGAATACAGAACCTTACACTACTATATTCACCAATAACATCACGCCTTTTATCCCCGAAGGGGTAGGCAGATGTGCACATTATACCACTGTACAATGTAACACCCACTTTTCACTATTTATGGTATGAGTCCCATGTCCAGACTCCGTGCTACTACTGAGAATATTTAAAAACCCAGTAATACTTTGCCCGACCCGGGAATCGAACCCGAGACCACTTGCCGCTCTTACGACCACTCTGCCAAAGAGGCAGTCTACTATATTCACTCTTTCAAATACGACGTCGTATTGTAAGCGTGACGCCACGACGCTAGACTATCAATGATCGACACGATTACAATACGCTTCGTGTGCAAAAGAGCTTAATTTCGTGTTTCTGCAACATAGAAGTCTGGTATGCAGAAAACAAGAAAACAATCATGTTTACACGAAATATGTTTTTGTAGTTAACATAGCAATAGATTAATTTTAGTATTACAGTGTTGAGAAACACGTACCAGCAGACAAGTCTCTAGAAAAATGACAAAAATGCATACTCCAGCTTGTGGCTTTATGCTCTATCTATTATGAGAGTTGAACTGAATATTATTGGATTCGTGAGCATTGTACGGATTGAGAAATTCCGTTTTGTCTGAGATATAAAAATAAAATGGTTTTTTTCTATAAAAACCTGACTTAACTTGTAATGTGGAAGTACACACATCTTATATCTCATACTATTATATAAAGAAGAGTTTGTTTTTGTTTGTTTGTTTGAACGCGCTAATCTCCGTAACTACAAGTCTGATTTGAATAGCGGATTGTATTGCGCATTTATCGCAGCGTAGGACGTCTATCAGCAAGGTGGACAGACGACCTGATTAAGGTCGCAGGAAGCGGTGGATACAGGTCGCTTCCAACTGGTCGATCATTTGGTTTATCCTTACTAATATTATAAATCGGAAAATGAGTTTGTTTTTTTGTTTGTTCCGCTTTGACGCCGTAACTACTAAACCGATTGCTTTGAATTTTTGCAGACGTAAAGTTAGAAGTCTGGATTAAATAATAGGTTACTTTTTAACCCGGAAAAATTGATATTCCCGAGGAAAAACAAAAATATTGCTATAGATGGCGCTGTGTGTATTGGTATATGTCACATAGGCTACTTTTTATCCTTTTGTGACGCGAGCGAAGCCGCGGGTGAAAGCTAGTAATTCAATAAATCCAAAATTAAACAAATTAATAACTAACTAAGACATATTTTGCCATTGTACGAGTATTTTTTATTTTTTTTAAGGGGGGAACGTCATCGAATGACTACTCCCGCCTGGGTGAGGTGGAAGGGAGTGTCAGACTCTTACAGACTAAAAACCACCCCGTTCCTTCTCCTGCACGTCGAGCCGGAGCCCCGGTTACCCGTTAGGTTCTCCGCGACTCCGAATCGGCATTGTACGAGTATAATCTGACTGTAAGTGATCGTCTCTTTCAATAACATTCCCAGACTCTTTAATAGCCTGTGTACCAACTGACAATAATTTCATGTTACTCCAAATTTTGATAAAGGATACTAGTCTTTCCGGCTGCATCGAGGCCCAGCATCAATATCCTCATCTCCTTGTTACCGAAGATTTTTGACAACAGCTTCCCCATTGTGCTGAACTCGCCTCAACCGCACAACTGAAATAAAAGAGAAAACATTCAATTAATTGTTTGAATTTCAATAAATTATCATTAAAATCAAAGTCAAATATTTACAATCAGTTATAACGCTTGCTACTACTCGACCAACGTGTCACCAATACCTATTTTTTTATGGGGGGAAATCATCGAATGACTTCTCCCGCCTGGGTGAGGCGGGAGGGAGTGCCAGACTCTTACTGACTAAAAACCACCCAGTACCGTTACCGGTTAGGCCGGTAACCCATTAAGTTCTCCGCGGCGTGTCACCAATCATGGTTATTTAATTTAAGAAGTTATAAATATCAAATTGCAGCTAATAGCAAATTCTAAAGAAACCATCAGAAGATAGATCAAAATAAAGGAAACGAAAATCGATGAAAACTTGTTAAACTAAATCGTAATCTATAAATAAGCCGGTTTGTCGGTTAGTTAAACAACTAAACGCGTTAACTGAGAGCTATTTATTAGTTTAGTAGAAATTCGGCGATCGTAAAATAAATACGAACCCAATTAGTTTTCTAAATAAATATCTAACGTAGTTTTAATAAAGGTATAACATTGGCTCTTTCGAATAGACGTGTGTGGGACTGTTAAGATGTTGCTTGAAACCTTTTAGGAGTTTTACACCTTTCTAATGTCTCATTTTTAACCATGAAACCTAGAATTGTACTCAGCACGTAGTATAATTCGGGTACGGTGACCATAATGGGTACTAGTGGCGATAATTTTGATCACCTATTTTTGTCAAACATCACGCCTTTTATTGGATTGCACATTACGGCACTTAATGCCACTGTACAATGTAACACCCACTTTTCACTATTTATGTTTAGTCCCATGTAATTGGGGGTGAACCTATTGCCATATACCGGGCACAATTCCAGACCCCGTGCTACTACTGAGAATTTGAAAAAACCCAGTAATACTTTGCCCGACCCGGGAATCGAACCCGAGACTCCTTACCCGGCGTCGCGCTTGCGACCACTCGGCCAACGAGGCAGTCAGCTATTTTTGTCAACTCATTTATATACAGTTACTGTAATTAAATCTCGGTCTATATCTTCATGTAACAATGACGTTATGTCAAAACAAAATTGATATTCAATTATTGTTTGAATGAGAAACATATAACTTGGTACTTCACTTAACTATCTAAACAAGCGTTGCGGAAGTTCAAACGCAGTTAAGCATTTCAGAAGAGCAACGAGGATAGTTTCTACTTTCTAGTTTACAAAGCAATTATCTTACATATTTTTATTAAATTTATTAAAAACTAGCAAATCCCGGAGACTTTTAGAAACAATAAAACATCACAGTTATGTGGAAAAGTAATTTTCTGTCTGGCGATTTGTTCAAAGATTAATTTTGCATGAAGATAAATCTAACAAATCATCATGAAGCTAATGGTATAGTAATGGCTACAATTTAGATGTTCAGAACTTCGCATACAAGCTACGATAATAAAAATATGATTGAAGAACAATGTATCATTAAAACTTCGCAGATTATCGTTGCAAGTCACACTCAGATCTCTTCAGATATTATTTATCGCAAGAATCCAGCTACATTTTCTTTTTAACCATATAACTACGTATCAAAATGTGGTCATAAAAAGAATACACAAGTAATTTCACAACTTTTCATCTCACATTTCATTTTATGATGAAAAACATTACGTTATGCAAAAACATGACCGCAAAAATATCAAAGAATATTTTTTACGAGACGTAAACGGGGAACGAATCACAAAGTTAGCTTTAGAGAAGAAAAAAGTATTTGCTAAAACTCGATGTATCTATTTGGCAATCTTGTTTATCAAGAGACCAAGTTAGATGAGGTAAGTTGATGGTAAGTTTGAAGACGTATTGACGTCCTTTATCAATGGAACTGATTCGGTGTGGGCGTATCATCAATTTGAGTAAGGATTACGTGAACGATTTCATGGAAGCGCTTTAAGTATTACCTACGTACAGCGTGGAATTGTGGGCAGCGAATCGGGATAAGATAGAGGAATATCCAGCTTTCAAAGCGCTGTATGGAGTTGATAAATTGCAAGTCCATTCAATGCCAGAGCGATGTATAGTGCTCTATCTGTAATATCTACAAGTTGAATCGTTGTATGCACACTGATAACATGACTTACACAAACATCCGACGCCGATTTTTTGCAATGCACTTTGAATATATTACTTTATTCTATACTACATTTTGTATGTATTTTATATGCAGCAGTATAAATTTGGTCAATATTTTCAACTTTGCTTTTTCTTTACCTTAGTGCCGTGTGGCATATGGACACCTTTCCGATCTGCCATATTCCATTTATCCTGTTTAGGTATGAAAAATAAATATATAAATATAACCCTTACGGAAAGAGCTTCAATGGATTCAAATTCTCAAGTATTCCAATTTAGATCTCTCAAACAGAGGGGGTTGTAAATCATATTACAGTTTCAGTAAACGAAGGATAAGGACCACCCTCCCGGTTGATAAATTCAGAATATTGTTTTCACAATCCAAATTAAAACACAAACGTTACGAAAATGCGACATCTAAAGGCGGTATTCAAGAAAATGGAGAATAACATTTTAAGCCTAAATTGTGTTAGATAAATCGTCTGCTAAAAGTTACATTAAGATAAATAATTTGCCATAATAAGAAGTGAGATAGAAATCATCAGAGATTACATATAGAATATATTTCTTTTAACCAACTGAACAAACGGAAACGTGTCATTGTAAAGGTCATTACTTATTAGGGTGAAAGAACAACATCATTTCTGCATTGAAGTTACTTTAGTAGCATTAGGTGATAAACCATTGCGAGACAACAATGGGTATAAGTTTACATGTGATATCGATATTCATGATACATAGTTTCCTTTCGCTAATTAGAATGTATGGGATTGACAACGCATCAGTTCCGAAACGTAATATGATCAAATGAATGTGTCATGAACACACAGGGTTCCTAATATCCAAATTAATTAAACTGAATCGGAGTGATTGGCACTTGTCTAAGCCCTAGACAACCCTAATCTCCATACTTCCACCATCTTGTAACCTTTGACCTGGGAACAAGCTGAGCAGTCTCGTTTTATTACTAGAGTCTAACATAGGTGCATAGAAAATAATCAAACAATGACATCACATCACAAACATTTATATGGTATAAATATTTTGCTACATATCAATGGATCTGTGTTAATGCATTGAACGTTATCATCAATCAACAAGAACCAGGGCGACGACGTTGCTCTATCGGAAGCCGTCTATCATAGTGAACACCCTCGTTTATTTAAATGTACGCGTTAAATAGGGTGAGCGGAACATACTTCTTATTTACTGTTTCATTTCCATCGCAGATTTTCGACTAAATTTTTAAGTAATGAGTTATAAAAAAATTGGAGCTCCTTTTAAAATCTTGCAACACAATCGATATTCAAATCATCCCGTCTCAGCAGAGAAATAACATTTAATTCATTAAGACAATATTCAAATTACAAAACTTAGAATGTACGATATAGATGAAGGCTCCAGACCAATACAGCAGCAAGGAATCTAACTATTACTTCCACATCCCACATACAACACCTACCTGCTAGGCAGTCGATGCCCTAGATACTAAGCTAGGCTAAATATAGACAAGAGCCTTGGCTATAGAATCCGAAGCCACTCCGTACTTCGATTGCCATTTAGAAGTTCTTGACTAGCAAACAGTTTAGGAGTTCGACAATGGATTGAGAACTTAAGGAGTTAGCTTGAAGGCAAAGCAAGCGTAGGTAGGTAGTTCATCAAAACTTGGAAATTCCTTTCAGTGGTATTTACTTAAATAAATTGGATTGAATATTACTAAAATTAAACTGAAGACGAGGCAATTTACGTTTATTGTTGATCCAGAAATTTCTTAGTTCCACTTGAAGATTACAAAGTGCCCCAAATTCAGATTGTTCATCGCCACTTCGTGACTTAAGAAAATTAAGACATTGTACAAATAAATGTGTACAACGGAGCTAGATAGAAAGGAATTCACGTCGATCGTTAAAGGGCAGGAGCTCATTACAAATAACTCGGTTGAAAGATTAAAATAATTCACAAACATGTGCCAAAAATTGGAGTTTGTTACTAAACGAGCAAGCACTTGTGAGCTATAACCTCTTTTTGAAATCCCAAAATGTCTATCGAGTCAAATCAGTATAAAAGCTGGCCACAATTTGCGAACAGAATTTAATATGGGAAGAAAAATAGCAATTGCCGAAACGAGAATAGGGGATAAAAGGCGTGGAATGAATTACCAAGTCGTTTTCGTCTGTTATTTTTATCTCTCAAAGATAAAATGTCACACTTTTGTAGAAATGTCTGTAGGTACGGTACGTAGGTATAATTATCTGTTGCATGAAAATGCAAATTATAGAAACATGACACCAACAATTTTAGGAATTTAATATCCAAAGTGTTAAAAGTAAAAAAATTCGCGTGAGCATAAAAAAATACTTTATAAATGGCAATATTTTATGGTACAGTCTAACGAATATGGAGGAACCTTTCCAAATAACTATAAGAAAATTGTGAAACCATGCAGCTATAAGATTAATACTAGGAAAATATACTAAGTGGCAGTGCTCGAAAAAGGATCAAGTGGCGTACTTCTAGAGAAGTCCGTCTAAGGGGCAAGAACAAGCTGATGACAATGATATTAAAACGTAATAAATGAAGACATTAATTTAAGTTATTACGACACTATGTCGTTACTCTATGTTATATCGATTATGGTAGCGGGTTTAGGCCCTGGCTGTGTGGACACGTCCGATTTATGTGTTTACACAGGACTAGGACGCCGACAGAGGATAAACATAACTTAATAGAAGCATATTTGATTTACACAACAACCAGTATAATGAACACAAGAGCTTATTTGATAAAATATAGTACAAGCAATTTGAGCGAATGAAGAATATAATAGCTGACATT